AATATTATTTATTCGTATAATATTATTTGTTATATTTTAATTTTATACGAATGATAATTGATATGATTATATTATAAGCAACGAATACAGAGCATAGCGTTGAATCATTGGGAGCGGCGTTTAATTGGCATGGTTTAGAGATTTGATTTGGAAAGGAAAAGCCGTGAAGAATGCGAATATCACCGACGGGTTCGGTTAGGTTGGCTCCTCGTCTCATTTGACGGCTAATACTACTTTTAATTAATTTCTTATTTGAGTGAAGCTCTTTTTTTTTTCTTAATTATTTAAATAAAATAAAGTTAGGTACATGTATCATGAGTTATGACGCCAGCTTGGAGAATTTTAGATTCAAAGTTTAATAAAAGGCAAAATCAGATTTGGGGTTCCTAAGATCTAGGTGATGAAGTGATTATAGTCATGTTCTAGAAAGAAGAAACTTTGGGTTTTCCTAATGATGGTCTAATTCAATACTCCCTCCAATAATATTTGTTTAATTTAAAAAATTAGAATTTTTTTTTTATATTTTATGTCTATTTTACTTGTACTATTAAATACTATTCGTCATTTAACATATTTTTTAAAATCTTAAATTTAATAAAGTCAGTAATATTATTACTACTATTTAATATTTTTTAAAAATATATCAAGTCAATAGTGAATAACTATTATTAGAGTAAGAGAGTATTAGATCTGACAGATTATTTTAAACATTTCCAAAGAAGGGCATAGGATGGATAATGATTTACGAAAGAATTCTTGATCAAATCAAATTAAAACAAAAGAAAAAAAATGTAAGTTAATGTATTTGCTTCTTCAACTTTATTCGATAAAAAGGACAAAATTGTTATTCCCTCGTTAAGTACCATATTCTTTCTATTTTATTTTGTGTCACACACTTCTTTTTTTAAATCATTCCAAAAAAGATTTGGTGAATTTGTACGTTTAGAGACTCTCAAATTTATCATTTTCAATTTATCATTAATTAAAAATATTACATTTTCTAAATAGTCATGACGCATTAAAGATAATAAGATTTTTAAAAAAAATCAATGATACGCTTAGAAATATTATATTTTTGCATGTTTCACACCTTAATTATTTGTTGTTTCGTTTTTCTATTTAACCACTAAGTGAATTGTTGATAATTAAATTACAAAATTGGAAAAATAATAACTCAAATATATTCTTGATCATTAACTTTTCAAAAAATATTTTAGCTATGAGTCCAAACTCCAAGTGTTATAATAATTTTTTAAGCTTCATGGAAGGAGTTAGAGTTGTCCAAGTTGATCTAAATTGAATATACTGTGCAAACAAGTCAACCCGGCCCAACTGAATAAGGAAACTTGGGCTTGGAGAACAAAAGAAGCTCATGGATCGGAGACCTATCGACTGATATGAAAAAGAAATAAAATAATTTATAGTATTTTATGTATAATTTTTAAATATTTAAATTTTTTATTTAAAATATTAATTTAATATAATTTAATTTAATTTTAAAAATTAGTGAAATTAATTTTTAAAAAATATAATACCACAAATAAAAGTGAACTTAGTACTTTAGCCTATTGCGAGTTATATTTTCTTGAGAATTAAATAACAATCATTGTAAGAATTAGGCAGACATGCCATCATTTGATAGTGATCGCTAGGAGTGTTTAATCAAGCAATATATTATTGCATATGATACTATTATTAATTAATATTAATACTGTAATAAAAATAACCATATAATGATCTGAGTTAAGTTTCAATGATTTGACTTACTTTAAAAAAAACCAAAAAAAAATAATCATATTAATAATATCTATTAAACTGATCAACAATGGTGATTTACACCAAAACAGAAAGGAACCATAACAATCGATTTAGGAAGAAGAAGAAGAAGGAGGAGGAGGCATCGTATGTATTGAATTGTAGAAGATGCAAAACTGCTATCTTCATGTATTGATTCTCATTTATATACAAGAGAATTGTAATCACATATCCAACAAATACAAAAGATATGAAATACAAAATGTGTGACTAACTAACTTTCAAAAATCTAACTAACTTGATGTGACATCCAACTAACACTCTAACTAACATAACTAACATAACTAACAAACTAATCATAATTATATTGTTAATATCCCTCCTCAAGTTGGCAGTGATGATCTTACAGCCAACTTGTTGAGTAATGCTGAATGTTTAACTCCAGTAAGTGCCTTTGTGAGTATATCTGCTAGCTGCTCAGTGGTAGAGATGTGATGTAGTGAAATGAGCCCCTCCTGAAGTTTGTTGCGTACAAAGTGACAATCGACTTCAATATGCTTGGTTCTCTCATGGAAAACAGGATTGTGAGCTATGTGGATGGCAGACTGACTATCACAAAAGACAGGAATAGGTGAAGAATCAGATATAGTTAACTCCTTTGTCAACCTGTGAAGCCAAACCAGCTCACCTACTACCTTCCTGATGGATCTATATTCTGCTTTTGCAGAAGACAATGAAATGGTTTATTGTTTCTTTGATTTCCAGCTGATTGGGCTGTTCCCAAGTAGAACCAAATATCCACTAACTGATCTTCTTGAGTCTGGACAGGATGCCCAATCTGAATCACAATATGCTCTGATTTAGCAATCAGAATCTTTGGAAAGATGAAGGCCTAGAGTTGAACACTGAATGCTATATCCAGTCTAGTGTTAGTAAGGAAATTCAATTTTCCTACTAGTTTTCTGTAGTATGTAGGATCAGGTAATGGAGTTCCTTCTTTGGCCCTTAGTTTGATGTTTGGATCAAGAGGAGATGTAAGTGAACTCTGACTATAACAATCATATTCTTTTAGTAAATCCAATACAAACTTTCTTTGGGAGATAAGTACCCCTCCTGGTATGTCAAGTATCTCCATCCCTAGAAAGTAATGCAATCGATCAAGATCTTTAATCTTAAAAGTATCATCCAAGTAGGCCTTTAACTGTGTAATCTCAGCAGTGTCTGTTCCTGTGAGAATAATATCATCAACATAGACTGCAACAAAGACAACTAAGGCACCAACCTTTCTATGGAAAAGTGAGTAATCATGATGAGAATGTACATATCCTCTGAGTGATAGAGCTTCAGTTAACTTGGCATACCATTGTCAACTAGCCTGTTTCAAACCATAAAGAGACTTGTTTAGCTTGCACACTAAGTTCAAGTCATCCACAGCAAGCCTTTGTGGTAGTTTCATGTATACTTCTTCATGGAGATCACCATGAAGGAAGGCATTGTTCACATCAAGCTGAGACATCTCCCAACCCCTTTTAACAGCACAAGCAATTAAGGTTCTTACAGTGGTCATTTTAACCACTGGAGAATAGGTCTCTGTATAATCCACACCAGCCTGTTGAGTATAGCCCTTAACTACTAGTCTAGCTTTAAACCTTTCAATGCTGCCATCAGACTTGTGCTTTACTTTATACACCCATCTACATCCAACTGCCTGTTTTCCTGTAGGTAACTTTACAAGATTCCAAGTATTATTTGCATAAAGTGCATCAAACTCTTGCACCATGGCATTTTGCCATGCAGGACTTAAGGCTGCCTTTTCATAAGATAAAGGCTCACTATCATGGCAAATTTTTTGAACCAGTGCTTTACTATTAGATGCAATATCATTGGGAGTAATGTGATGGTGTTTAGTGAACATGGCATTCAAAGATAAGTTTTTATCAATGGGAATGGACTGTGTGGTAGGAATATGAGTCTTTAGGGTAGGAATTGAGTAGATGTAAACTTTCAAATGTGAAGGAATCTTGCTTTCTCTTTGTGATCTTCTGTGTGGTAATGTGGGGGGAGAATGTGATTGATTTCTGTTATGATATGGGGAACTAGGTGATAAGGTTTGAAAAGTAGGAAGCACATCTGTATTTTGATTTACCAAAGTGCTATCAAGCATTGAATCAATACAATCATCAAAAATATCTAAAGAAACAGTCCTGTTATTTGTAGATTCTGTACTAGGAATAGAAGGAAAAACACATTTATCTGAAGTTAATGTAAAAGGGAATAGATGTTCATGGAACACTACATCCCTAGACACATGTATCCTTTTTGTGGCAAGACTCATTACTTTGTATCCTTTTGTTCCAAAGGGGTAACCTACAAACACATGAGGAGTGGTTCTAGGTTGTAGTTTATCCCTCTGAACTTTGGGTAATGTTGGGTAGCACAAACAACCAAAAGATCTAAGTTTGTTGTAGTCTGGTTTTGTTTTGTATAGGATTTCATAAGGACATTTGTTCTTCAAATAGACTGAAGGAAGTCTGTTTATAAGATGTGTTGCTGTAAGTATACATTCCCCCCAGTATTTTATGGGAAGTTTTGATTGAAATAGAAGGGCTCTTGCTGTCTCTAACAAATACTTATGTTTTCTTTCCACTATACTGTTTTGTTGAGGTGTATATGGACAACTCTTTTGATGAATTATACCTTTGGATTGAAAGAAGGATTTGGTTTCATTGTTATTAAACTCAAGTCCATTATCTGATCTAACAGTTTTGACTGTGGTTTGAAATTGATTCTCTATCATATTTACAAAGTTTTTGAGAACTTGTAAGGCGTTGCTCTTGGTGCTTAACAGATGAGTCCAAGTTGATCTACTAAAATCATCTACTATGGTGATAAAATATCTGTAATTATCATGTGTAGGTGTATGATAAGGACCCCATATATCAACATGAATAAGCTCAAAAATGGAATTAGAGTGTGTAACACTTTGGCTAAAAGGCAATCTTTCTTGTTTTGCCATAGGACAGATTGTACACATAAAAGGTTGCTTGTTTGAGAAATTGGCTGGGATGGTAGATATTTTCCTCATTTTCACAAAAGGCACATGGCCAAGTCTATTATTCCACAATAGGTCTACACTATGTTTAGTAGATATAGTATCAGAAGTAGAAGAACAGACAGTATGACTATTACATTTGTTGTTATCATGTAAAGTTTTGTTTGTGGCTTGACCATTATTGCTAGACAAAGAAGAATTGTGATTGTTGTGAGATATGCAGCAGCATGTGGTGAAGTTAGCAGGGTTCCTCAGACATCTTGAACAAAGAAAATAGAGTCCTTCTCTGCTACTACCAAGCACCTGAGGCCTCTTCACTGAAGGGGCCTGCAGTAAACAAGAAACACTAGTAAACAGGACAACACTTCTCATTGAAAGAGTTAATGAGTGAACTGACACCAGATTGTATTTAAAAGAAGGCACATATAGCACATTGTGTAAAACAATTCCAGATGTGATTACTACATCTCCAAATTCTATCACCTTGACTTTGTATCCATTGGGTAAAGAGACAAGCACAGGGTAAGACATGGTTTGAACATTGGTAAGAGAAGATTTGTTAAAGGTTATATGGTTTGATGCTTCCGAATCAATGATCCATAGGTCAGCACTTGATTTAAAACATTCACATGAAGGATTGCCAAAATCAATAGATGAAGAACATATTATAGTACCTGCAAAGTTCACAGAACCAACTTCCATGTTTGAGTTGTTCAAATCAGTTCCTTCAACTCGAAAATTCTGCAAAAGTTTCATCATGTTATCATATTGATCTTTAGTGAATGTAACCATTTGATTCTGATTATTCTGCATGCATTCTTCTCTTTGTGCAGATGCCACATTATCATATGATCCATGAACATTGGCTACAACTCTCCTTCCTCTATATTCATTATTACTGTTCTGCCTTGCATGAGGTCCATTGTTCCTATTAACCTGGCTAGGATATCCAATCAACTTATAGCATCTCTCCCTGACATGTTCTGTCTTTTTGCAATAACTACAAACCATAGCACTTCTATTGTTACTGTTAGCTGAAAAATGGTTGGATCCTCCATAATTGTTGTTACTTGAAGTATTGCCAGAGCAGTTTTCACTAGAGAATGATGTTTTGTAGTTTCTTCCTGTTGATCCCTTTCCACTATTGTTAGAAGAGTTCACATTCAAGGAAATCGATTCTATAAGGGTTTGATTAGCAGGTTTAAACTCCCTTTGTTTCTCCTCTTGAATCATCAAGGAAAAGGCTTGTGCCATTGTTGGAAGGGGATTCATCATAAGAATGTTGCCTCTTATCACAGTATACACCTCATTCATCCCCATTAAGAATTGTATCAAGCGTCTGTCTTGTTCTGCTTTGTATAATCCATCTTTGGCTCCACAACTACAAGCACAAGAGCACTGATTCTTTACATTCAAAGTGCTCAATTCTTCCCAAAGTTTTTACATCCTGGTGTAGTAGACTGTTATATCCAAATTTCCCTGTGTGAGATCATTAATCTCTTTTTGAATTTGATACAGCTTTGCTCCATTTGTTTGGTCATATCTATCTTCAAGTTCCTTCCAAAGTTCCACTGAATCACTAACATACTCTACACTATCTGCAATTTCCTTAGTAAGAGAGTTTAAAATCCAGGAAGTCACCATGTCATCGCATCTCTGCCATTGATGCAACTGATTTGAGCTTGCAGTTGGTTTAACACAACTACCATCAATGAATCCAAGCTTGTTCTTTACTGACAAAGCTCGCATAACTCCCCTTCTCCAGGATCTATATCCTGTTCCATCGAATTGAGTTGGTACCAACACCATACCAAGGCTATCCGAAGGGTGTATGTAGAGAGTGTTGTGTGCATCACCATTAACAGAGGTTCCTTGTGCTGAAGGAGCACTTTCAGGTCCTGTCATGATGAAGGATCGACTGGATCACAGGAAAAACAATTAAACAAGAAGAATCAACAGCAGATTCAAATCAAAAGTAGCAAGAACAGCCTTGCTCTGATACCATATTAAACTGATCAACAATGGTGATTTACACCAAAACAGAAAGGAACCATAACAATCGATTTAGGAAGAAGAAGAAGAAGAAGAAGAAAAAGGAGGCATCGTTTGTGTTGAATTGTAGAAGATGCAAAACTGCTATCTTCATGTATTGATTCTCATTTATATACAAGAGAATTGTAATCACATATCCAACAAATACAAAAGATATGAAATACAAAATGTGTGACTAACTAACTTTCAAAAATCTAACTAACTTGATGTGACATCCAACTAACACTCTAACTAACATAACTAACATAACTAACAAACTAATCATAATTATATTGTTAATAATATCTTTCTCTTTTGCATCAAATACCTGAGTATTATTTTGAGATATGTTTTGTTTGGATTTTACTGGCAAATCTCCCTGTTGATTAATATTTTTTTTCTCCAATAATAGTTACTCCATACGTCCAACATTGTTTTGTCATGTTGCATTTTTCGAAAATTAATTTAACTAATTTAAATTAGATTACATTAATTTGATATTTTAAACAAAAAAATCCTAAAACTATTTAAAATTACAATAAATTATATTTTTTTTATATTAATATGATAAAAATATATATATATCTTAGAATGTTAGTCAAAATTTTTATAGTTTAACTCTAAAAAAAAATCATGACAAATAATATCAAATGGAGAAAGTATTAATTATTGATTTGACATATATTCTAAGAAATAATAATTAATTCTTTGAATATGTTAACTAAAATATTAAATTCATATATATATATATATATATATATATATATATATATATACCCTTTAGAAAACTACTTTACTCAATTCTATTCCTAACCATAAAATGGAAAAGCAAAAACGAAGAAAATGAATTAAAGTAACCTTTTTCTAGTCAAATCCCTTTCATTCAAAAATCTCATGAACTTTCTTAAAGTTGAAACTTTTGAAAATTCACATGCCATTACTTTCTGCAAAGTCCAACTGTATGAGAGAGAAAAAGATAACACAACTTTAAACGAATCTTCTCCAATTGAATAAAAAGGTAAAATTAGAGATTTGATTTGTAGAAAAAAGCAAACTCGCAAGGTCTTTTTCGTCATTTCATTTATCACATCAATATATCATTGGGTTAAGGGATTAATACACACTTTAATTACGCAAAACAGGCTTTTTTCTAAAATCGGAAAAGAAGTAAAAAATAGAAAATCCCAAAAAAAGCCTTTTTTTAATATCGTTAAAATTAGTTAATTACAGTTAACTAAAAACCCAACACTATATTCCCGTCGGCGGGTTAACTCACCGGGAAATTCGCCGGACTTAGATCAATCTCGATTAGATTCTCTTCCTCGAATTCGCTATTTCTCTTGCAATCCAATTCAATCTCTATCAACTCTTCTCTATCTTCATCGTCCCACTGGAAACATACATTCTCCGGCGAATCCCAGTTTCCGATAACCGGTGAATCCCCGCCCGACGAACTATCCGTATCCGTATCCGTTTCCGGGTAGTACATCGACAACGAAGCATACTTCTCAATAACCCTCAACTCTTCGTCTCTCTTCTCCTCTGTATATTCCCCGTCTTCTTCTTCTTCTCCTTCATAGGCTTCGTATATCACCTCCAATGGCGCCCTCACATTCCACTCCACAAAGCAATCCCCATAAAACCGTCTCGATTCCGGTTCTAGAACCGAATCCTTTTCACAACTTGTGTCCACACTGGATTCGTTTCTCTGTTCCAAATTCGGTTCAAACACCGAATCCTTTTCACAATTGGATGAATCCACATCAGAATCAACTGGGTCCAGGTCCGGATCCGGGTCAAGCACCAAATCATTCTCACACTTGATACTATCACCAAAATCAGGCGGATTTTGTATACATAACATCTCGAATTCGGGTTTTTTGTTGTTCTTCTGTGAAATTCTCTGAGCTGCACCGAGTCTGAGCAGAGAAAGTAACAGAAGAGAGGTTGAAATGATGAGTGGAGAAGCAGCAATCGTTGGAAAATATATGAAAATAATAGTGTAGAGAGTAACAATGGTGGAGAATAAAGGATATTGAGATTCCATGGTGTTGTGTAGTGGTTCAGTGAAAAAATGGCGCTTTTTTTTTTTAATTTAAGATGAATTTGCATTCACTGAATATGGAGGATTTGATATAATTTTGTTTTCGACCTTATAATTTCCTGCATTTAATACGAAATTAAAGTGAATTTGGGAAGAAGATGGACAAAAGAGAATGGGGATTCCAGTGGAGGGATTGAATGCAATGCACACACTATAAATATATATATGCTTCTATATAATCGATTCGAAACACCGAACGAGAAATAAAAAAATTCCAATGCACTTACTATAAATACTTGCTTCTATGTGGTGCCGTATTATATTTAAGGAAGATATAATGTAACGGATCGGATTCGTCTATTCTCATTAATAATTCAGCATCCATACTAATTTGTCTTTACGGTAGTCAGATTTTGAAGACTTTACTTGGGGGATGTGTTTGGTAGGAGCATAAATAATTTTTTCAAGAATTAATGAGTTTTTTTTTTAAAAAAAAAATAAGTAATAAATACTTCAAGAGCATTATTATGTAAGCTAGCAAAATGTTACGAATATTAGGTGAGGAGTGACGGTTGGTTCATGGAGGTAAAATAGTCCAGGGATGACGATTGAGACGTTGAGTAGATTGAATTGAAAGTTAGATAACTTATTTTTTTCTATATTTTATTAAGGAAATTATTATTTTTTATTTTTAAAGAATTTATTTTTCTAAAGAAATTTATTTTAACTAATCGAAAATGCACCCCAACAATAAGGGCTTTGAACATAGGTTGCGCAAAAAAAAAAACAAAAAAAAAAACATAGGTTGTGCCACAAAAGAATAATTATAGTCATCAATTAAATATATATTAAAATAATTTTTTATATATATACACTTTATTTGTTTGATGAACATTATATTGTATAAACATCGCATCAAATAATGCATACTTTCATTATTATTAAAATGAAATTTCTGACTCTATTATTTTAATATTATACATGTACAAGTCAAGTCAAATATGATGGATGTAGTTACGTACAATGATAACCCTTACATTTTTGTAACACTAAATCTAAACTTAGTATTGATATATATTTCATAATATTTTAAGGTAATATAAAAAATGAAGTCCAAAACATTAAATTTGCTTAACTCGAGAGTACAAAGGTACATGTAAGTGACTTAGAAAAGATTAATAAATTAGTCTGTATTAAAACGAGTAAGATCTTTTTACTCTTAATTTGAGATCTTTGACTCAAGATGTTGATATAACAATTTGTTAGAAGAACTTTTGACTCTTAATGCGAATTTGATTTTGTCAAAATTTTAATGTAAGTTTCAGTATCGCTTGAGAAGCCGAAGTGAGATAAAAAGGGAAAAGGCAGGAAGTAGCTTTGTGGGTATGGGGTTAGTGGGAAGTGTGGATTTGATTTTCAAGAAAAAATGAGTGAAGATTATGGACTCTTTGTAAAGTGAGGGGTGTCTCTGTCTGTGGGGAAGAGAGAGTTAGGCATGAAATACTAATATCTAATAGTAAGAGTTAGGTGCCTTTCTTAATCATGTTAATTAAACTTTAATTGAGATGATATATTGAGATTGATTACTTAATTCAATGTTTCATCATGCTTTTAGAAGCCTAAATTGTTTTTTGTTATAATATTATTACTTAATTACTATACAAACATGCATGCAACTAATTAATCTATGGTTGATACAGTACATCCCCCTGTTTAATCAATTTGTTCTCATCTCCTTAAAATTATGGGAAATTAGAGTTGTTACTTTCTTGATTTCGACTTCCAAAAAGCCAATGATAACTTTGTAAAAAGTATTCATTATACAATGTATAATGCTTGTTACATTTTATCATAGAGTAGGCAAGGTGTCATCTTGAAAATCATAAGATATTTATATTTAAGTGGATTCAAATGTATTTGGGATATATTATAAATCTCGTTTGTTTTATTTTTATTTCGCTTATCATTTTCGTATGTATTTGAGATCCTAGATACATATAAATACATGTATCTAGTGTGATTTGCATGTACATGAGATACATATATAACAAAATCTCGACCCCTCTTTCTCCATATATCGCTCGCTTCCTTCTTTATTTTAGTGCATCTAGTAGCAAAAATATATGCATCTAAGTGTGTCTTTCTCAATACACAGTATGAAACTCTTAATTAGTGATAAAATACGTAACATTTTAAAATTATAGATAACAATAATATATATGAAGTGCAGTATATATCTAATAATCACATAGTTTCTCCTTTTTAGTGTTTGATCGATAAGTAAGCAAATTAATATTACTCGAAAAACATTTAATATGCAATCAAGCAAAACTCTACGAAAGTGAAATACGGTGGCGAACATGAATACAAAAACACCCACAACTATTTGATTTGTATTCTAAAACAATTACTAATTAATTACTTTGATGGTAATGGTAGGAAATCAAAATATGTCTTTATGGTCTTCACTCTTAATCCTAAAAAGATTTCTATTAAAAGCCCGTCAAGATTTGGATTTGGAATAAGTTAATTACCTCCTAAAATGTCAATGACTATGGAAGGAATGGTCAATGGTTTTGATAATATGATAACAGTAATAAAATTAATTAAAATATACCCTTGTCAAATATATCCAAATAAGATATAGGTTTTTATATAATGTAGACTAATTTTCTTAACTAATTGTGCATCTAAATTCATCAATCATTTACATTATACAAATTTAGACAAAGAAAAGGTGCATGTAATATAGAGCAGTAGGCATTTATCACTGTTATATAAATTATCAAATACTAGTTGTCAATTTAAACCAAGACAAAATTAATTATCATTTTTCAACTTTGTCTTTAACATTAATTATTTTAGAATTAAGAGAGACATATATATCGATACATAATAAAGAATTAATAAGGAAGATGTTGATCAAACAATACTTTTATTAATTTTATTTTTTTTAAGAATTGTGTCAGATCTTATTATGATAACTAAAAAGAAACGAAGAGAGTAGTAATTCTTTTCCATGTTTTAATCCTACCATTAATTTTTTGTTCTCAAATCACTTTTCAAGCACTAAACGTTAGGCGTAATTAATATGGTAAAGTAATCATATCAATATAAATTATTATTTCTTAAAGAACATGTCAAAACTAATAGAAAAAATAATAGTTGTTGCAGTGCACGTGATTTTCATAAACATAAATAGGTAAGGTGTCCCTGGGGAAAAGAATACATCTTGTTACCCAGGGGCCGACCCACGTTGGGTCGAGTGTTTATCCGAACACTCTCGACAAAAAAATACACAATATATACAAGGTAAATTTCCTGTATTTTTATAGATGAATAAATGTTAAACTTTCTTGATAACAAATAAAAATAGATGGTTCAATGGTAATACTTTTGAATATTAAGATGCATGTCCCAGATTTGAATCCTGCAACAACATTTATTTATTTTTCTTTATAATTTAATTTTTATTTTTATTTTTCAAACCTCTCGAAGAAAAATCCCGAATCTTGAATCCGTTAATTGTTGACAAAAAGATCTCACTTTATATATTTTTAATAAACCAATAAGCCTAAAGGACACATTTTATCAACTTCATGGAGAAATTTTTAAGTTAGTGAAATATAAAATATTACGACTTTCGCTACTTATTATATAGTCATTAGTTCTTTTCGTTGATACTTTTTTATATAACAAATAAATAAAAATGAACGAACGAAACATATAAATTGAATAAATAATACATCCAAATAATTTGGATTAGGAAAAGCGTCAAGCTGTATACCAATATCGAAACGACAAAGTTGGATTATATTTGTAGCCATGCACGTGATTTGCATAACCATAAAAGAACGAATATATCTTTTTCCAAACCAAATTTTCAATAAATTAGCCAGATAAATAAATTAAAATAGACACAATAATTCTTCTCGACTTAATTTTCTAAACTATAGTAAAAAAGTATTTTGGACCATTATTTACAGCAATTATAACAAGTAAAATTGAGCTGAAGAAGAATTGCTAATATTTATGTCTAGAAAATTGCTTTTAATTTGGGGTCTACCAATACTGGCACCACAACTTATATTGCTTTATTCTTTTGTTAATTTAATTATTATTGGACGATACAGTGAATTTGTTGCTGTTTCCAGTTATCCACCTCTAACTGTCAACTTTCTACCTATACGTAATTAAGTGTTATCGTAACATTCACAATATTTTATACTTATTAGTTTGGACTATGTAGCTCAATTTTATAGATTATAAAATTTCAAAAAATTACATAAATATTAAATTAAAAAACATTGAGTATATACTAAAGTAAAAGTGCAAATTCTTAAAGTAATAACTTAATTCTACTTGGGAAGCTCTCTTTAAAAAGAAGAAATATCTCTTCAAAGAAATTCTCGATTTTCTTACTTTATTTTCTAATTTCGCTTTTAATTAGCAAAGTTATTGAAAAAATGTATAAGTACCCCTTCAATTTATGTCTGAAATCTCAAAGACACACTTATATTATACTAAAGTTCTATTACCCCCTAAATTTATTTTATAAATACCCTTTTTCGGCCTACGTGACATTAGTTTGAAAAAAAATGTTAGCACACGCTGGAACCACAAGATATTGTCACGTAGAACGAAAAGGGAAAGAAAATTATTTATAAAATAAGTTCAGAAGAATAATAAAACTTTAGTATAATATAAGTGTGTTTCTGAAATTTTGAACATAGATCGAAGGGATATTTATTCATTATCTCAAGTTATTAGATCCTGTTTCTTTTGATATAATGTACAATCTCTTCTTACCTATTGATTTGGCAAAGATAACATTTTTAAATATCAATACTCAAAGTAGAAACAAGCCTAACCAACCAAAAATTATCTTTGGTGTAATTATGTTTTTATGTGTATTTTTAATTTTTTTTTTGTGAATTCGATTAAGACTATAAAAGGAAAATTATAAAGTATAACTTTACCTAATATATATATATATATATATATATATATATATATATATATATATATATATATATATATATATATATATATATATATATATATACTTTGATTAAGAATATGATATATTTAAACGGTTGGAAGCTAAAGATGAAGAAAAAATACATGATACATATTAAACTTGTAAATAAAAAGTTCATAGAGATTTAAAGGTAGATGAAAGATTTTTATAGACAATCCATTTTTTTTTTAAAAAAAATGATAAATATACTAAGATATTTTAATAATTTTAACTTTTGATTTAGACTTTTTGCACTTTTAATAGAACAGAATGATCTTGTTGATTTTTATTAGTAAAACCTAAAGAAAATGAAGCTTAATAACTCCATTCTTATAATACTCGTTTACATGATTTTAATATGATTTTTTTTTAAGTAGTAAAAATTAAGGTCGAAGAAATTCATAAAGTAACAACAAAGAAGCATATTGTACATTTCTATCATTTTCATGCATATTTTTGCATTTACAAAATAACTTTTATAAATTATATAACTTTCTTGATTTTCGTGTCTATTAGCCTATAGATATGGCGCATTGGAACA